TTAGGACTGTAATTGCCCCGGGCTAATGAGAAAAATGTAGGACTGCCTATGTAAGTGATGTGTTTGCTCTAAGTGACGGTGAAATAACATCGTAATTGCTGCACGAGTTACTGTTTTACAGTGGCCGGAGGAAGGAAGGAGGTGGAACAGATGAGTCACCGCACTGCCCATGGTAGCAGAGGAGAGCCAGGCTCTCGCAGAAAGCGGGGAGGCAGTCAAGGTGCAAAGAGCTCTTGTTTGAGCAAAACGACATCAATCAGACAGTTAAACAAGTCTTGTTAATGTGGCTTTTATTGGTGGTGTATTTTCTTTGTCTAGAATGCTTAAATTTATTTTGGCTTCATAGTTCTCTAATTACGATAAAAGAAGTATATACCTAGTGTTTTTCATATGTATATCTATATATCTATATATAGATATATAGATATGTGTATATATATATATATATAATTATAATGATGTAATACATATGCTATATATTGCATAGCATATAGTATTTAGTCCACCAAGCAATTAACTCAATTCTGACACTTTTTACCTGGAGATCACATCAGATCCCGCAGGTTAAGGGCTCAGCCCTACAAACCTTCCCCACCACCACCTCCCACTGCAGATGCCCATCGCAAGCTCATCGGAGTTGTCACCTGTGCTTCTAACCGACCGGCTACAGATTGGCGGTTCCAACAACCCTTTCTCCTTGGGTTCCATTAATTTGCTAGAGCATCTCACAGAACTCAAAGAAACATTTTACTTTCTAGATTGCCAGAGGGAAGAAATGCAAAGAGGTCTGGGGAAGGGGCTCGGGGCTTCCAGGCCCCCTCCAGGTGGCCGCTCTCCCAGCACCTCGTGTTCACCAACATGGAAGCTCTCCGAACCCCATCCTTTTGGGGTTCTATGGAGACTTCATTACCTAGGCACGATTGATTAAATTCTTGGCCGTTGGAGATTGAACTCAATCTCTGACCGCCCCCCCCCCCTCCTCAGAGGTGAAGGAGAGTGGGAGAAACTGAAAGTTTCAACCCTCTAATCAGTGGTTGGTTCTTCTGGCAACCAGCACCCCAGTCTCTGGGGTGGGGGAGAACTTTCCAAAAGTCACCTCAGTAACAGGAGACACCTTTATTGCTGTCATAACTAAGGAAACCTGAAGGGTTTTAGGAGCTCTGCCAGGAAAAAGACAAAGACCAAGAATATATTTCTTATTGTAAACCACAATATCACTCGTATGTAACATAACATATAATGTATTATAAATGTCATACATATCATTATGATGATGGTTAGTTTGAACGTGTTGGGGGGAGCCATTGTGATTCACTATCTTCCCCGCCACCCACTCCCCTATTTCAAAGGACCAGTTCCATTCTTGACTGGAAGACAGTGGCTTCTCCGTGGGAGCCCAGCCCGTTCCCCCATTTCCGGGCGGTGTCTGTGCAGGCCGCTTTTCTTTCTTCCAAAGCAGCCTGGATTTTCCGCTTGCAGGGTCTCCCTCCCCTCCCCTTCCTTCAGTTTTCTCCCAGTTAACTCCCGTGCATGTCTTTACATTTCCGTCTAAATGTCGTTTTCCCAGAGAAGTCTCTACTGAACCCTTACCGCTGTCGAATTATCTCCTGAGGTCCACGTTGGACAGCATTACCTGTCATTGGTGACTGTCTGATGCCTCTTTCTGCTGTGAGATCGTAGACAAATACCGTCCGTGGCCATTTTGCTTACGACTGTTCTCCAGCTTTCAGTGTAGCCTGACACGTAGTAGGCACATGGATATTTAGGGAGGGGAGGAATCCCTGCAGAGATGCTCGTTGTCCATTACTCCAAAGGTCACGTTGCTTTTACCCTCAGTAGATTGTCTTCATGGGGAATGTTAAAGTCACAGGCGGGTAGCAGGGGAGGACAGGGTTAGATCAAAGTATACGACCTGCAACCTGGACACCAATGTCTGGGGACATTGGCATATTTCTGCCATTTTAACAACTTGTGAGTTATAATTTATTTTTACTCTCTGCCTTGTTCGTGTAACATTTCCATGGCCCCAGGTACGGAAGCCACCCCCTGTTATCTCCTGGCGCAGCCCTATTGGAATTACATGAAACAGCTTTCAAGAGCGGTAGTTCCCAAAGCTGGTTTCAGAGTAGAATCATCTGGAAAGTTTTTTAAAATACTGATGACTGAGTTCTCCCCTTACAGGCTCAGATCAGGGACCTATTAGGTGGCGCTACTGTGCAGCTGAGGTTGAGATCTATGGTTGCAGAGCACTGCACAAACCTGAGTGCTATTTTTGTTGCAAGTTTTACTAATATATCAGAAAAGATGTACTTAAAGGAGATGCTTGAAGACAAGACACTCCAATGAGAAAAACTGTGGCCGAGGGGTCACACAGATTGATGGCCATGACTGAGGAATGACAGTGAGTCCTGGGGTTTCTTCTCCTCGACCCAGTCTTTGCTATTGAGTTTGAACAGTATCTTCTCCATGGCTGTATTTTTGTCACGTTCCGCTTGCCCAGGCAGACGTAAACCAGCCTCCACATCTCAGGGCGTAACACAGGCATGTGTATTTTCTTGCTCATTTTGCAGCCCCATCTGGGAAGCCGAGAGACTTGACTTTACTCCACAGGTTACTTGTTTTGGAGATGTGTCGTCCGTGAGGGCGCCCACGGCAGGCGTGGCAGGTAGAGCCCACAGGACCATGAAGCCTCCAGACATGGAAATGGCACATATCTGGCTCAGTTGCTCAACTGCTGTCTTGTTCAGTTGGCCACACTCTGTCCCTGTACTGATGGCTGTCCCACTACGAGGGACGGTGAAATGGCGTCTGCTTCTGTGTGCCTGAGGATAAAGAGGTGGGATTGGGGGCACGTGATGTTTTAACCAGAGAACTTATCCCTTCAAGTTCTGTTTGCTTTAACATAATTCAGTCAACAACTGCCAGGTCGATGTGTATATTTTTTAAATATCGAGAATTACTTAAATCTCTTCTTGCAACTTCCTCTTAGTTGCTGTGCTCCTCGTCAGTGCCGCCTTGCCGAACGCGTCCTGTGTGCCAGCCACTGGGCTAGGCAGGTGCCTGTTAGGCAGAGGTGAAGGCAGGCTCCTGCTGGGAAGGTTCTGGTTACTGATAACAGAAAACCCAGCCAAAGCTGGCCTAACTTGCATGGGCCTTTAGTATCAGACAACAGGAGACAGATGGGGCGATTTCAGGGCTGTGGATTCAGACACTCCCACTGGGCTGGGTGCTTCTCTGATTTTCTTGGCTCTCACTTTATGCTCTTAAGATAGGTGTGGATTCCCAGGTATTTGCTGTCTGCAGGAAGGGGTGGGGGTGGGTGGGGGGGGAGAACGCGTTTCTGCCTGTCCACCTGTGTGCCTGCAAAACTCCCCAGGAGCCCTCAGCACACTTGACTTGAAGTCTCCTTGGCTGAAATCCTGCCACCTGCCCACAGCCAACCCCATCACTTGCAAAAGGAGTGGAATTGCTGCCCTTGGCCCAGACCCAGGGAGATTCCCTGTGTGGGCCTGGGCACCCAGTAGGGCATGGAAGGTGTCACTTCTGAGTCACTTCCTGTCCTTTATTACATGTGCTTAAAAAGAGAATTTTGCAGAAAACATGGTGAATGATTCAGTTCACCATGTTTTCAGCAAAATCCCTCTTTCGTGATAACTTCCCAGATCTTGGCACTCAGTGAGGTCTTCTTTACAACCTACGTGGAGCTCACCTGTCTACCTCACACGTTTAGCCATGATGAACGTGCTGCCTTGTGGTATTGTCGGTATTGCTGTACGGTTCCTATGCCCTTGGTTTATTTTTCTTGTAAGTGCCCTGCCTTCTTCACTACCTGTGTTCTCCCCCAGTCCCGAGCATGCCGCCTTACACAACACTGATTTTTCTCCTTCCGAGTCTCTCCCGTCTCCAATCTTCCTCTCCAGCTCCAGCCCGGCTGTACTTGTCCAGGGCCTACCGTCACACACCTAGATGGGAACAACAGCTGTCTCCGGAGGGACCCCTCACTCCTGGAGCATGACCCCCAGAGCTGTGTTCTTCCCAGGCGACCTAGATGAGCTGTCTTTGCCTTCCATCTCCCGTGGGCGCCTCTGCACCAGCAGACTCTATCCATTAGCCCTTCCTTCTCCACCGCGTCTGCTGAGTCCCACTGACCTAACCAGAATCCCACTCCCTTATACAACTTTTCAAGCTCATCTGGCGTCTGTGCTCTCAGTCACATTGTCATCTTATCCCCAGTCCTTCCCCCGTCTTCCCTTGCCTGGCTAGTGTTCACCAGTCCTTTAAGTCACACCTCATACCTGCTTTCTTTCTCTCATTGCCCACGCCCCCCACCCCACCCCCATCATTGCTTTGTTGAGTTTTCCTTAGCGACCACCAAAGCGGGGGTCTCCGGAGGACTTTGGACTCAGACAGACCTGGTGTTAAATCATGACCCGAAGCTTAGCCACTGCCTCCTCGCTCACAGGATTGTCTTGGGAATAAAATGACTTAATGCGAGGCGAGTACCTGCGGGTTCACTCCCTCATCCTTCGGTATTTACGAATGATTGCATTTATGTGCACATTCACCTTTACGTTTCCCAGAAGGGTCCTGCCGATGTGTTAAATGTGTTCATTTAACAGATTTTGCCTGAGTGCCGGCCACCAGCCAGGAGCTGTGCAGGTGTCTGGGATACTCCTAGTGAACAAAACGTAGGTCCCTGCTCTTGCAGACCTTCCCGCCCACGAAAGGCACCATTCACAGGGTTACCTTAGCTTCGTAAAGGCAGTTCTGTTTACCTCAGATGCCAGAAGGGGCATTTGTGATACCAGAAATAGAGTGGCCAGCGGACAAAGCACTTCTGCTTCCCTAAAACTCAGCTCTGGAAGCAGGCATTTTGAGCTCCCTTTTCCCCACCCTTCAACAGTTGTTTAGCAGATGACTTGCAGTGACAGTGGCCAAGCTGGCTTTTTTGTTTTTTAATTAGACTTAGAAGCACAAACTTCTGCATTTTTGTCTTTCAGTGGTGAAAGCGGGGCAGGTAAAACCGAAAGCACTAAACTGATCCTCAAGTTTTTATCAGTCATCAGTCAGCAGTCTCTGGAGCTGTCTTTGAAGGAGAAGACATCCTGTGTGGAGCAAGCCATTCTCGAAAGCAGGTATTTCTTTATCGTGTTTCTGGTTTTCCAGTTGTTGAGATTCACTTTCCTCTCGGCGTGGCTTATTGGAGCAAGAAGTTAAAATTAGTGCTTCTGTTTTCTCTTTTTCTTGGCTCCTCTTTGACCATTAAGGAAAAGTCTCGACATGCACGTAGCAATTTCCAATAACCTGAGCAACAACCCCTGACCCTCCGACCCTGGGCCAGGTTTGAGTTGGTGAGGGGGTGGCTCTGAGCACATGCTGCCGCCTTTGTCTACCGAGATTCCTTGGCCAGCTTTTTGGAGGCCTTGTTAATCAGAAGAAATTTCAGCCTCCAGCCACTGTGTAACAGCAGGCTTGGCACGGAGATGAGCAATCCTGTGTTCGGCTTTCAGCTCTTTGGAGATGATACCATAGAAGCAAAGGGCATTTTTGTAGTCTCATGTGGCAGAGGACCAATGATGCATTCGATGGCAGTGAGCCTCAGGACTTTGAAAGAGGGCTGCGTGGTGAGGTATCTGAAGTTGTATGTAAAATACAGTAAAACCTTGGATTGCGAGGAACGTGGTTTGCAAGTGTTCCGCAAGACAAGCAAACATTTCTAAAACATTTTAACGTGGTAAACGAGCGATGTCTTGCAGTTCGAGTAGTTTGTCAGAAAATTGATAACTTGAAACATTTTTCAGCGCATAGCTTAGTAGCATTAAGTACATTCACATTGTTGTGCAATCATTTCCACCATTTATCTCCAGAATGTTTTCATCTTCCTCTGGCAGCCTGCAGCCTGTTTTTATAAATAAAATGTTATTGGAACACAGACACTCATTTGTTTACATATCGTTTATAGCTGCTTCAAGCGTTAGCAGCAGATCTGCGAGGTTGCAACGGAGACCCACCCTGCCCCATGGCCCACAAAGCCAAAAATATTTATTATCTGGTCCTTTGCAGAAAAAATTGATGGACCCCTGATCTAGTCTGACCGTATGGTAGAGTTGGAGAAGACCCAAAGAAGTTAAAAGAGCTGCTCCCAGGATGTACAACAAATGGGCAGAATTTCCAGGGGTGGAACTTTTTCTGTTCCTAGAATTTAAATAGGGGCTTTTTCAGGGCTGGCCAAGTGACTCAGTTGGTTAAGAGCTCAATCAAGAGTGGGAGCTCTGAGCAACAGTGGTTTGATGCCTGTCCCGAGCTGAGCTGCCGCTGAGCTGCCAACAGGTGGCAGGATGGCTCAGCCAATAAATAGAGGGGAGGGGGGGGGTGATCCCTGGCTCGTGTCTACAAGCCCAAGCTAATTTGCGCAGGGACATGCCACTGTGGTCTCCTTAACTCTGTAGTCTCCTGTGCCCGCACAACCAGCTATGCCATCCCTCTTTAAGGATGGATGGATGTGCACGATAAACCCATTTCAGCAAGTGCTTTGAAAACCAGGCTCATCCTTAAAGAAACATAATCACCCTAAGTCTTTTGATTTCAGGTTTTTCTTGCCGTTGTATGTTTTGACACTTGTGAGGGACGTTCTTGCCGTTTGTAGATCTCCCCTGATTCACACTCGTCTCTCATCTTTCGCAGCCCCATCATGGAAGCTTTCGGCAACGCGAAGACTGTGTACAACAGCAACTCCAGTCGCTTCGGGAAGTTTGTTCAGCTGAGCATCTGTCGGAATGGGAATATTCAGGGCGGGAGAATTGTAGATTGTATCCTGTTTCATGTAGTTTTTATCCATTGTATTTGACTTAACATGTAGATACTGTTCTCATCATCAGGACAGATGAAGAATATGAATCACTTCTGTCTGGCTCTACCTAGTTATTGCTCTCATATTACTGTGTTGTGTTGTGTCTACTAATTGTTCTACGAGAAAAAGAACCATTTTTCTTTTGAAAAGCCCTGCTATCATGCCCCTAATCTGAAAAACTGGATTCATCATCAAACATCAGATGTTTGTTTTTTTGAAACCAGTTCTGTCAACTGGTTTGGCACTTCCCAGGGCACCACCATGTGTCATGTTCGAAATTGGATTTAGGTGAAGTAGTCAGTGCTTTGTGGGCTTATCTTTTGGCACCAGAAGTCTCGATGTCAAAGGAACAGGGATTTAGAAAATTAAAGGCTAATTAAGTGGGTTATGTCCTGGTTTTGTTCCTTGACTCACCGTTGCTTTTCATGTGAAGATTTATTAGAAAAAGTAAGTAAACGTGAATTTACTTCACAATTTTTTTCACAATAAGGATTTTTGGAAATTATCGGTGTATGTTAATTCAGCAGGGGAAACATCTCTGAATAGAAATCTGATTTATGTCCACAGAACCGAGTAGTAAGGCAAAATCCGGGGGAAAGGAATTACCACATATTCTATGCACTGCTGGCGGGGCGAGAACATGAGCAGAGAGGTGAGTGACTGGGACCGCAGCCCAGAAATACATGTTAGCAACTCATTTTTCCTTTAAAAACTACCAGTACGTGAGAAGACATCTGCTTGGACTGTGTTGATTTTCCACCAATCGAAATGACATCTACGAGAGTACCAGAAGATGTCGAGTTCATTTTAGAGGCAAATTCTGTAAAGGGAAAATCATCAATAGGGAAATCTTAAATTTTTGGTTTGGTTGGTTTTGGAATCTTGGTCCTTTCCTGATTTAAAGCATATTTATGAAAATATTTATGATGTATTACTACTGGCTTTACTTTTAAACCTCAACTGAATAAAGCTAATTTCTGAACATTCGATTTTTAAGAGAAAACAACCAAAACAGGGTCCACATTGATTTTTTTTTTCAGTAATATTCTCTACCACCCCATTTAGTTTAATTAAATTCTGTTTTCCCTGTATGATGATTAAGGGAGAATTTTATCTTAATAGGGGGCTATTATTAGGAGCACAGAATTATTTATGTACTTTATTTTAACATCACAAAGTGAAAACTAGGATTTAGTTTTATCCTAACCAGTGAAGTATTGATGTTGGTTTTTTGTTGTTTTTCTCATTTTTGTAGAAGAGTTTTATTTATCTGTGCCAGAAAACTACCACTACTTGAATCAATCTGGATGTGTAGAAGACAAGACAATCAATGACCAGGAATCCTTCAGAGAAGTTATTGTAAGTTACTTTCTTATTTTTCCTTACTAAGAGTGACCAAAAAAAAAAAAGGGGACTGGTTTCATTTTCTGTTTCGAAATTTTTTAAAAATGAAAACAGAAGTGATTATATTTGCATCACTGTGTGAGAACAGTATTTTAAATTTCCTTTCCCAATTTTATTTTGGCTTCTTAGACTTCTCTCATGACTCAAACTTTTTCCATTCACTATTCATTTATTACTCTCTGTGCTGAAAGATCGTGTGTGAGAATAAGTATGAAAACTCATTCATGTTTTTGATGAGTTGCAGAAAAGACGACTTGTCTCAGGATTTCTTTTTCTTTTTCTAGTTTTATTTTTGCTTCTTTCTTGAAGCTGGAGAACACTGCTTTGTGATAGAAAGAAGGATGTTGTACCTGGTGACACACTCCCAATTATCCAAGTCATGTCACTATGGGGAAACTCACTAGGGGGCTGGCCACTAGGGTGCAGTGGACACCGAGGCCTTCCTTGGCAGCACCCCCCCCCCCAGTGCCTGCAGAAGTACCCTGGTGGTTTTCTTGTGTTTTCCTGCTGGGGCACCCTTTTCTGATTCAGAGTTGTTCTTTTTGTTAGCTACAAAAGTTAACTTTTGGAGCTCAGCCTAGCTTCAATGATTTCTAGCTTTTATTTTTAGATTGAAATGATAGGTTTTGGCATTGGAAATTTGGTCTTATGATGAAAGGATATATCATTAGAAAGGAAGAAATATTTATATATAAAATTGACGTAATGAATATACACAACAAACTTATAAGTATCCTATTTATAGATTCTTAATATTTACTTTGCAATTACTTTTTAGTGTCCACCCATCAAAATCAATGACAACTAGGCTGGAGTCTATTGCAATCAGGAACATATAATTTTTGTTGTTGTTTAACTTTCTCCTGGAAGTTCTAAGTAGTGTAATCAGAAAAGAAACAAAAATAAATGTGCAGCTTGTCAGAAAGGAGGAAAAATAATATCCTTTTCCCCTAAACCTACAAAATCATGATTGGGGGAATGGTTTAAATAATTTGTTATATCCATAAAATAAAATCCGTTGCAGCAAGCAAAACACATGCTCAAGTGTATTTAATAATATGGAAAAACTTGCTTATTACCTAAGTGAGGAAGCAGTATAAGGCACTATAAGCTTTTTATTTAAAAAATAAGATATATATTGGGAGGTGCCAAAAATGTATGCACATAACTTGTATTCATCTTTTGTTATTGGTATATATTGAGTATTACAATTTTAATACAGTTTTTTTCCATTCTTAAAATGTGTGTACATTTTTTGGCACCCTCTATATATAACACGTATATATAATTATAAATGCAGAAAAATATTGGAACAAAATATACGAAAAATGTTACCTCATGAGGCAGAATTCTAGGATCTTATTCTTTATCATTCTCTCTGTTACATTTTTACAAGAAATATGTCAACTGTAATGATTATTGTATGATTATATGCCTGCAAGACATAATTTCTATAACATAGGCATGGAACTGTAAGTGTCATTATTAATACCAGCCAACCCATCTTCCTGCTTACGCAGCACTCTGTAACCAGGAGTGACACAGAAATGGTTAAAAAGAGACGCTACGCTCTTCTGACTGAAGTTGGTTTTATATATTGAATGTGTTTGAGCGCCTGCTGTATGCCAGGCTCTGGGGAACCGGCAGAGAGCAAACAAACCACATCATCTTTGCCTCCTGCTGAAGAAGTTACAAGAACTGGGGCAGATTATGCTGTTGTTTTTTATGTAATTTGTGTCAATATGTCCTCCCAGCAGCAAATACCATTTCAATTTGTATCTTCATACTCGAATCCCATAAAATTCCTTTTCCCAGAGGTCTGGGGATTGAAGGAAGAAGGGAAGCATTTCGTTGGGCTCACAGACGGATGTTTGTTTGCAGAATGGGTCAAAATGTTAATCGAGAGAAATTATTTCTAGGAATATGTATGAACATGTCACCTCTGGTGGTCATTTCTAGGAACTGAAAAAAAATGATTATTCTTTTTGTTAGTTTTAATGTCCGTGTACTCTGGCAGTAAGACTTTTTAAGAATTTTGCTTACTTTATTGAGAATTTATGTGTTTTTAGAATTCATTGTTGGCATCAACTGACATCAGTATAAATAAGTACCTGTGAGGTCTCCTGAGCAGTTTCACGTGGACAGTGACCGTATGCTAAATGCCATAGCCATTTTTTGTGCAGCCTCCCAAGTTGTACTGTTAATTCTGCAGTCAGGATGAAAAGCTTTTTCAAGTCAATAGTAAGAACTGATTTATTCTATTGCCTGCATTGACCCACCAGGATGGTGGCTGATGAACTGTGTGTGTGAGGTAAGGCGAGCCTTTGAGCCATAATCTCATCATTCTGTTACTCCACAAATATAGAATGTTTACAGTGCGCCTGGCCGTAGAGCAGGACTGCGATTTCCTCACTGTATTGGCCTTACTGGCCTAGCCATGGGTTTTTAATGGCGTCAGCCCATGGATATAGGTGCATAAATTCATTCCTCACGCCCGTCAGATTTTATGAAGAGTTCAAGGGCTGACTTGGCTCCTCAGTCTTGGCTAAGTTTGGAAACATCAGCCTGTTTCAGTGTTGGAAAACATGAGAGTAGAATCGAATTTTATGTTATAAAATAACATACGGTGGCCTGATAGACCATAATATTACATAATACATTATCATCAGATTACTTGCTTGGACTGGACCAGGCCCAGGGTAGCCACCCCTTCCAGCGTTTCAGGAATGCTGTTTCTTCAAGGTTGACCTGCAGCTCCTTTGTGTTCTTGAATGGCCCCTCCCCACCTCACAGCTGACTTCTGAGACCCCGAGCGGCTGGCCCTTTTGGTAGTAGACGACCGTAAATTCGCCCTTCTCCTCTATTTGTTTCTACTGTGAGGAGCATAGCTTCCTTTGGTCCTTAATGGTTGGGACTATTTCATATACCAGGGGTGCCAAAAAAATGTATGCACACGGCTTGTCTTCATCTTTTGTTACTGGTATATAGTGAGTGTTACAATTTTAATACAGTTTTTTCCTTGCTTAAAATGTGTATACATTTTTTTGGCACTCTCTATATGTGTCACCACCCCACACACACCTTCACAAACAGTTTTTATGTGCTTAATAAAGACTTGATTGAAAATATTTTGTACACTGGACTCGGTGCCAGTGTTATAACTGAATTGCTGTTGGGCACTTCTGAACTATACTGAGTAATATTTCCCAGAATTTTTTAAGTCTTGAGCCATACTGTTGAGAAAATAATTATAATTGTAATTATAATCAGCCTTAAAGTGGCTACTTTTGCCGAAAGGGTGAAGGGAGATTGCTACTAAAAAGATCGTAAAGGACAGTAAACGGCAATGAATGGAGGGTCTGGCTAGCAGTGTTAGCACCCACACCCACACTAGTGATAATTGGTTGCAGCCACTAAATTACCCCATGGTGTGATTAATGAAATTACCACTATTACCACAGTCATAACTAATTAATTCACTTGGGGTTAGACTTGAAAGTGAAGAAGTCACAAATTTATTAATGTTGTAAACACATTTTATTCGTTTGCTTTCAGATGTCCATATATAATCTTTGTATGTATTCTCAGAACTTAACCAAGAATTATTTCATGGGGTGCTTTTGGGTATTTTTCATTTGACAGTTCGAAATTTTTCGCTACTATAAACTTTTTAAAAAATCATTTCTTTTAATCTTCTATAAAGTCCACATTGGTGACTTAAAACAGTGAAGACTTTCTGTGGTCACTCTAAGATAAGCTTAGAAAATTTTTATGAATTAGTATTGAATATGTCTTGTATTATGTAAGGAAAACTTGAATCATAAGAAGGGAATATAGTAACTTTTGTACAGCATTCCGCATAGGTACTTTATAATTATTTTGCTGATGTGTGATTTGCTTTAAACATCTTGAGCATAATAAATTATTCTGTAGTTCTTAGCCATATTTCTTTCTTTTTAGAATAAGTAAATTTAGATAATTATTTTTCTATAGGCCTTTTTCATTTATAAATACTTGACCAATAGTTCTTATTCTTTGCATCAATTTCTGTTTGTACCCATGAAATGAGAGCCTTCTCACCCTTGATGAAATAATTCATGGTCTTTTTATTTTATTTTTTTTGTACTCAACTTTGAGACATACTGTACATAAACTAAAATGCTCCCATTTAAAGTACACCATTTCGATGAATTTTGAGTTTACGTACCCATGCATCCACAACTACAAAAAAAATGAAGGACAGTTCTATACCTCAAAAGTTCCCTGTGCCCCTTCCCAGACGATCTCAGCCACGCCACCCCGAACCCTGGGAGACCACCAATCTGCCTTCATTCACTGTACATAGTATAGATTTGTCTTTTTAGAGTTTCATGTAAATGAAGTTACACAGACCGTATTCTCTTGTGTCGAGCTTTTCACCCATCCACATCACACATAACACAGTTCATTCCTTTTTATGGTGAGTAGTATTCCATTGAGTAGACAGCAGTTTGTTTAGCCATTCACTCCGTAATAGTCTGATTTGTTATTGGAAAAATATGTCAACAAAGTTAAAAGCCATGGTAAATGGTAATGAGCCGACCAACACTAACATTGAAGCTATTTTCAATTTTGTGAATTTTCTTCCCAGCCTGATTTTCGTAGTGATAGTTACAAAAATATAATTTTTCGTTTTTACGTAAAGCTATCACAACTATCTGTTTCTGGATAATGTTTATGATTTCCTTTAAAAACTATACACTATTCTAACAACTTTATTTACTATATTTGATTTCTCTAATTGTAGGATGGTTAGAATTTTTTTTTCTCTGAAAATGTTAGATAACACTGTAGCGAATATTTCACAAAACTTTCTTTTCTGTTGAAATTTTCTTTGGAACAAATTTTCGGTATTAAAATGAGAGGTTACACAGGAGATTCTTTTCTTTTTCTATCTTTCTTTTTTTATTAATATCCTTGGAAAGTTAGTTGGACGGGTAATAAGTTCCTAGACTTTGGTCTCGTTGGGCCTGACTTTAAATCTTGGTTGTGCAATTCTGAGAAAGTTACTTAACCTCTCTGAACGTTCTAAGATTGTGTACGTATGTAGCCCAGCACAAGGCTGCCACATAATGTTCTCTTACAAAAAGATTATACTAATTTACAGCACCAGTGACCAGTGCCTAAAGACCTGTTTCACCAATTTTAGGTTTATCCTTCAGAAATTTTTTGCTAGTTTAATAGATGTGATCTCAGATTTTCTTAATGTGTGTGTGTTTCATTTCTAGCAGGGAGAACGTTTCTCTGTGGATTTGCACTTCCTCCTATAAGAAGGGCCTGTTTTATTTTTGTTGTTCGCGTGTCTCCTAGTAGAGTTCTTGCTCCTTCCCTTACAATTATTTCTTTCAATTCTGTTTCCCTGCCTATTGTTTTTGCCCTTTGTTTCAACTCTGTTTTTTTCCTTGTAAAGAAATTACCCGTTTCACATTTTAAAATCTCCAGTTGTTTTCCTTTTGCAATTTCTGTTGCTTCAAAGTAGTGTGCAGTTTCCTTTTTCACAGCCTGCTCTGGACTTTGTAGTGATTTGGGGTCCAGGTTCTCTTGGTAGGTCATACTGTCAACAATTCTGTGTGTGGGGGGGAGGGGTAGCTTTTCTCCTGACAAGAATATGGCTTCTAAATCACATAACAAAATGAGCAAATCTTAGATAGGATTCAGAAGACGTCTTACTACAGTTGTTTAGATACATATTGTTTGGAAGAGCTCCTGTAGGTGCCTGTTTATTTTTTCCCAAAACAGCATTATGTTACTTCCCATTTACTCTCCAGAGACCAAGACCTGAAAGATTCTTTGGAAAAATGAATAATAGACATGTAATGAATGTGTGGGAAAGACAGGTCTAGGCGCAGTCATGGGTTCCATCAGTGTCTATTACTAATATAAAAGGAGCAAAATGCTCTCCTGTCTATCAAGTTCCTGTCACACAATTTCATGCCACCTTCTTGGATCCCTGCTGCATTTGACCGTGCAGACAAGGCCCCAGAGTTTACCCTGGAGGACTCTCCGGAAGCCTTACCCCCACCCCAAATTCTTCCCCGCTCCCAGTTTTTATGTGTAAGAAAATAATAAACATTCCTTTATGCTTTGATATCTATAGGAAAAAAAAGTATTTCTTTATCACCATCATTACTGTGACTCTCTTAGGTAATTCTTTTGTGATGTAACTAGGAGGCTTATACATTAGGCAGATATTTATTGGGTTGTCAGAAAAGTCATGACGTATTTTTTTCTATGGTTTTTTTTTGTTGCAAAAATGCATCATGACTTTTCTGACAACCCAATACTTGTGTTTTTATTTCATCAGCTGGGTTCTCTCTCAGCATTCTACTGTTCTTAGTATCACGCTCTTTATGTGTACCTGTGTAAGGCCTTTGTCATTTAAAAGTGAGTGGTCACGCATCTATTTCTTGTTTTCATGTCTTTTAGGACAATATCTAATAATATTACTGAGTGGTGAGCATTTTTCATTTTCTTCAGTGTGAAAAAAAATGACATAAAAAAAAATTAAACGCATTTATTTTCTTCCAGACGGCAATGGAAGTAATGCAGTTTAGCAAGGAAGAAGTTCGGGAGGTTCTGAGGTTGCTGGCTGGTATATTACACCTTGGGAACATTGAGTTCATCACTGCTGGTGGGGCGCAGGTTTCCTTCAAAACGGGTAAGATTGCCCCTCCCCATTTCTTTCCTTGGCTCTTTACTCACAGGAAACTGAGACCTAAAATATATACTGTCCAGCCTTTTACACAAAAAGGTTTCTAACTTCTGGCCTAGAGAGCTACAGAACTTGGTGTCTGATGTGAGCTATCAGCTGATAAAGGGTGAAAACGTCTAAGATGTTACTACAGAGTGGGATGAGGGCTGTGTTCTTGTTCTTACTAAGAAAGCAGGAAAGTGGGCCAGATAAGAAATACGAGCAACGAGGAGGAGATGCAGGGGTATAGTGTCACCATAGCTTTTCGTAGTTCCTGAGGGGTGGCCTAGGGTCATGGTGAAGACCGTTAGTTTTCAAGCCAGACTGCCTCATTCTTAGCCCGGTTCTGCCACAGGCTGTTTCCTTGGTCTGTTTATCACCTCAACTTGGGGTCTGTAAAGTACCCCAGAGATGTGGGTCATATGTGTTGATGTTTACTGCACTGGGAATTAAAACTGAGGCATTTAAAAAAATTCATTCCAAAATAACCATAATAAACCCATTACATATTAAAATAAATATTATAATCTTATTTAAAAGACTTTTAAAAAAATCAACGAGAAGTGACCTTGTCTTCCATTGTTATAAATTTCTTGGATATCTAACGTAATGGAAGACAGCTGGATTCTCACATCTGCTTTTGCGTTTATTTTGTTGAGATTCCCGATGCCATGTCGTCACTGGAAAAAATCTTCTGTGTACAGACTGAGGGTATGAGAGTAAAAAAGCAAATAACGTCCTATGTTATTATTGAAAATAGTTACTCGCAAACCTCTGACAGGGTCTCAGGCACCCACTCTACCCTTGGGGTGTCTGGACTATACTTGGTTCTCTGCTATTAACCTAGAACTCGATAAAGGAGTGACTACCTTATCAATACAATGTATGTTCCATAAACCCTGCCTGAAGGATTTAGGAAATGTTCTCTGCTTTAACATGTCGCTGTGTGTGGTTAGCTTTCAGCCCACTTGGGGTCCCACGGCCTGTCCTTTCTCGGGGCTATGCACCCACTTCTGCCTTGTTCTTCATTTCCAGCCTTGGGCAGGTCTGCAGAGTTACTTGGGCTGGACCCAGCGCAGCTCACGGATGCCCTGACCCAGAGATCCATGTTCCTCAGGGGGGAGGAGATCCTCACGCCCCTCAACGTCCAACAGGTACACACACTTCACTGTCAAAGCTTGTTTTCAAGTGAAGTGCATAGCTTTGATTCAAGGAGGTAACTACAACAAACCATTTCCATGAGTTTGGTTCATGATCGAAATAAAGGTATCCACATTGAGAGGAATAGATGTAGTTGTCGAATTATTTTCTAAGAGACAGTGCAGCTGAGTCTTTAAGAGGATCGGGTCTGGTGCAGATGGCCTGGGTTTGAGGCCTAACTCCGCTTACTACTGTCTCTACTTGGGACATTTCTTCGCTGTACCTCAGTTTCCTCCTCTGTAAGACAAGAAAAATGACCATACCTAATTCATAGGATCTTGTAAGGATAATAAGAAAAACATCTATGCTAAAGTGCTTAATGAATGGCACAGAATAAGAGCTAAGTAAACATAATAATAATAATAATAATAATAATATACATGAAAACAGTGCAACAGTATTTAGATTACTCACTTTCGCCTCTGCCACTGCCTTGAGCCAATTACATGCTCTACGCCATCTAATATGTTTCTTGATTGGATAAGTAAAAAATGGTAACCATATACCATGAAGAAAACGTTTATGTGGACAAAGTAAAATAGGAGCAGAAGATTAAAATGAAAAACCTCTGTCTTAATTACTGTTCTAAACCTGATAAAATCTGTAGCTATATCTATTGGGTCAGATTCTTTCCTATAATTCCACATGGAAAGTTGACTTCGGAGCCTGATATTTAAAGGCGATCTTGGTGTATCTTACTGTAAAGTAAATAAGCGCGCTCCAGTTGATCCTTTATTCTAAGTCTGTGTTTTCCTCGATGGTACTGATTTACTTAACGTCAGGCACACAGCTGCTGCACCTGTTCAGCGTGTGTGTCTCCCGAGCCGGGTAGGGATGGACTCACCTGTCTGGGCTGTTTGTGGTCCCCTGGAAACGGTGCTCACGTGTTCTCTCGCCTCAGGCAGTAGACAGCAGAGACTCCCTGGCCATGGCACTTTATGCACGCTGCTTCGAGTGGGTCATCAAGAAGATCAACAGCAGAATCAAAGGCAAAGATGACTTTAAGTCTGTTGGCATCCTTGACATCTTTGGATTTGAAAACTTTGAGGTATGCTTCCGACGAGGGGGACATGTGAATTCTTTTCTGTCCACTTACTGGCTGATCTTAATTAAATCCGCTGTTCACAGACGTTGATATTTTTCTCTGCAGATATTTTTTGTTGTTGTTGTCTTTATCTTTATGTGTAATAGTGAGAGCAGTAACAATACTCGTGGAATGGTTTCTCCCTGTAGGTTAATCACTTCGAACAGTTCAACATCAACTATGCAAATGAGAAACTTCAGGAATATTTCAACAAGCATATTTTTTCTTTAGAACAACTAGAATATAGCAGGTAAGCACACATAGAATTCTATTTCAATTTTTTTTTTAATCAGCCACTAAATTAGATAGCTGTACAGCAATGTGTTCCTATGACCCAGTCCCTTTTCATCTTTCTACAGAGAAGGATTAGTGTGGGAAGATATTGACTGGATAGACAACGGAGAATGCCTGGACTTGATCGAGAAGGTAATATACTGTTGAAGGGCTGGTTCCTATTTATGGGAATGAAATCGCTTGTGTGAACATGCCCATCAAAGATGTGAATGTTTAGAACAGAGTGGACCATTTGGAGACATACATGTCAGTGTGCAAGGTCGAATTTAAATACTTGGCTGCTTCAGGGCTATTGTCTCACTGAACTCAGTATTTTAGAGTCAACATTGTGCGAATCGGCTTCACCTAGATGTTAAGTCAGCATCAAAAGCCTTGCCAGTACCAACAGTAGATGGGCCAATGGTAAAAGTTTTGTCCAAAAAATTGTGATAGGTTCAGTTGTTTTTTTTTTTAACATTTATGTGGAATCTACATTTCCTGGATTCCCTTATAGTATTGCTCTGAATTATTTCAATCTCAGAAATCACTGTGCCTTTTTTTTTTTTTTGACCACTGATTTGATACAGAGTAGAGGGGAAAGGAGCTCTCAAATATTTTGAGGGGTACCTTCAACTTTGAATTCATTCCACCTTTTTTTCCCTCTTCTAGAAACTTGGCCTCCTAGCCCTTATCAATGAAGAAAGCCATTTTCCTCAAGCCACAGACAGCACCTTACTGGAGAAGTTACACAATCAACATGCTGTATGTCCAGACCTGCGAATTCTTAATGATGTCTGAATAGCAAATCTGCATTAAGATTACATCCCGAGATAGTTCAGGGTTGCTGGCCCCACTGTGCCTCCCACATGAAAATTTCTTTTCTCAAACCAGTGGAGCTGTTCTCTGACTTCTTGAACTACTTTAAAATAAGCCAAAGGGATAGATTTGGGGCTTCTTGTCAGAATATACTCATATTTAGTTTATGAGTAGAGCATTTAACATTGTTAGCCTGCGTGATGACACAGACAAGAGTTACATGGTTTGATGACGTGCATCACAGGCCGTGTGCTATAAACCTCTGACACATGGTGGGTTTCGAAATTATCTTCACCATTGTAGTTAGTTTTCTCTGGGAGTCGATGGAAATCACTAAATGAAACTAAGCATTTGCATTTATTTTTCTTTTTTTTTTAAATTAGAATAACCACTTTTACGTGAAGCCCAGAGTTGCCGTCAACAATTTTGGAGTGAAACACTATGCTGGAGAGGTAACTGCTTAATTAAGGTCCTTATTGCTCTTGGCCCCTTTGGTATTTAGAGAAATAGTCATTTTAGAAGGCAATCATAAAGCTGTTGAAATGACTTCATGGGTCTAGCTTTTAAAGGAGATGCTTATGCCCTGAAATGATGCTTTTGATCAACTCTACCTTCTCTTGTGTCTTTTTTTTTATAAACCAGGTGCAGTATGACGTTCGGGGCATCTTGGAGAAGAACAGAGATACCTTTAGAGATGACCTTCTCAACTTGCTAAGGGAAAGCCGGTATGTCTGTCTCCTCCCCGAGACATCATTAGCAAGCCAAGTAATGTCTGTGCAAATGCTTTTAATTCACAACCATAGAAACCATTAATATGGAAGCAACTAGATTTATTATCTTATTCCCTGGGCAATATTTCATCAATACAATGACCAAGAGTTATAAAATAACGCTAGTAGTGGTGACCACCATTTCATAAGGTACCATAAGAACAGCAGATCCATGAGTTAGATGCTGTTTTTAACCCTGCTGTGCAGATGAAGGCACTGAGATTTGGAGCAGTTCAGTGACTTGCCCGAGATCCCACAACCAGTTTTCATCTGGTCTGCTTGGCCAACGAACCTAAGACCTTAACTGCTGTGATCTTCACAACAAGCTTAGAGCTATGTGTGAAATTGATTTCAGCCTTGGGTTTGTAGAATTCCTAATTAGTGTAAAGAATGTCAAGAAAAATAGGTATTAATTCAGCTAAAATTATGAATAGGACACATTAATTTGTCCATGAATTGTAAATTCCCACTAATAAATAAATAGTTGGTTAGGTTAGCTATTTGTGTGTTTAAACCAGGAGGCTTTGTGAGAGAGAAAAGGGGGGAAAGTAACCCTGTGTTAAAGCTTTCAATACCTGTGTGAGATCCAGAGTGAATCTATAACAGAAACAATTTTTTAATATCTAAGGAAGGAAAGGAGCACAATTATTAAAAAGCTGTAATACTTTTAGGAATGTCATTGCCAGTTGGGCCACCCTGTCACTTAGATAGCTGTGAACTGGGAGGAAGGGAGCCCATCTCAAGGTATCAGCTTAGAAGCTCAGAATTGGAAGTGGTAGATCTTTAAAGGTGTTTTAACCTTCTTATCTGAAGATCCCCTACTTATAACATTGTCAGCTATTTTTATTTTTAGATGAGTTTTCAGACCTATAATCATGGCGGTGTTTTAAACCTACCGTAGCATGTTATGTATCGGAGCAGTTGCTTCATTACTCGATACATTGACATAAAAGCAACCGTGATGTTAAATAGGTGCATTTTGTAGTGAAAGATCACAGGCATGGAGACCAGCAGGCGTTTCTGCTGGCTGCCTCTGCCCTAATATAAAGTGGTTTTTGTTTTTTGTTTTTTTGTTTTCGTTAGTTTAAAGTGGTTTTGTGTCTGGAGGAAAGAACTTTCTGTTTCAGCCCCAGGCTTCTCTGTGCAGACCGAGGGGCTTGAGATGTTTGCTCTCTCTGCTCTTTCACCTTTGACATCTGTGACATTTTAATGGAACCAAAGCTTTTTTACAAAGTGCTCAAAGCGCACTGTTGGAGGACTTCAAAGAGGGAGCGTGAAATAGCACCCAAGAACAAAACTGCGGATGGGCTGGGGCGAAGTGAGAAGTGACTGGGAATTGCTGACACTGCTGGGAGGTGGGGACGCCCAGATGTTGTCCCCGCCTTACCTGGTCTCACAGCTGAGCCTCCAGCACACATCCGCTACCCCCAATTTTACAGCGCATTTGTCTTCCCTGCCAGGAAAACAAAAGAGGAGTTCTCGAGAAGGCTTTTTCTTTACTAGTAGTGGCAACGAACTCTAGAGAACTTTTTAGTAATAGGAACTGCCACCAACATCAGCGCTTCTAATGTGCCAGGCATCATACTCAGCTTGTCGTGTACATTTTCTTATTTCATTCTCACCCCAGGGTTATGAGATAAAGTCAAAAATTGCCTCCATTTTCCTGATGAAAACAAGCGTCCTGCCCAAGTCATGCAGCCAGGAATGGGTGGAGGCGGGATTTGAACCCTGGTCAGCCTCATAACAGAGTAGCACCTTCCCATCTGTTAACTGGCTGGGTTTTGCAACACTGTGAGATGTGCAAAGCAAATATCTCCCTTCCACAGGCAGGGAGATCAGGGCTGCAGAAGCTTGGGTGGTGCTCTGGAAAGAACGACACTCCTAAGCGGCTTGTCACCCTGGGTCACTTTCATCCCAGTCCGCTTCTGCAAGACTCTAGTGTTCTGAAGGAGGCCACATTTTGGTTTTTTTCCTTCAATGCCTAAAGCTCTTTGGCAATGGTTGGCTTGAGCTGTCTTAGCTCCTCCAGGCCTCGGAGTGTTCCTGTTGGTGGGAAAGTGTGTTATAATTACAGTAATCCAGCACCTAATAACTGGATGTGTGCCCTCATGGTCCTCGGCTCTCTGCTCTCACAGATTTGACTTCATCTATGACCTCTTTGAACACGTTTCCAGCCGCAATAACCAGGATACCTTGAAATGTGGAAGCAAACATCGGCGGCCCACGGTCAGCTCCCAGTTCAAGGTTAGTCAGTCTACGCTGCTGGCTTGGAGGGGTTGATCGTTACTGTGATTGGAGAATTGAAAATAGGACTTAGGGACATGAGCTAGCTTTATGAGTGGTTTTTGTCTTTGTTTTTTTTCATTTATATCATTCTTTGAAAACAGACTGCTGTAGAGATAAAATCTACTTTTTTTCTGAGTCAGAGGAAAACATGTAGATCTTTTCTTGTTGTTAATAATAACTACTTATTCATAAGTTGATGAAATAGCAGTTCTTCTTAAGAAGCACTGTTTGGCTATGTGGGGTCACTCTGATTTGGATTTGAATGATCGTGTGACAATTGAGTATATTTCTTCCCGTGTCTGGGTTTTTGTATCTTTCCTAGGTATGTTTACAGTGTCATAACTAGCAATAATAACCAAATGTATATTTAAATAAGGTCAGTGTCACTTACTTTGTCCAGATGTTCAGAATGCAGGGAAAATAAGGAACATTTTCATTTTCATTTTAAATAAGCATTTTATGTAGTTTCGAGGTAGAAGATAATGATGACCATTTCCCTAACTTAGTCCTAATCTGAAGGGAGATGGAGGCACATGAGTCAACAGACTTGTAGTAAATCTGCCCTCTGTGAGGCTGTCTTTCATCTATTCACAGTTGGATGCATCATGTGGGGGGGTTTGTGAGGTCTGTTGTGCTGCATGGCTGGGTGATGCAATCACATGAAGGGTAGGCTTGGCCCAGATAGGATATAAGAATAATCGCCACCATTTGTTATAAACTTATTATGTGCCCATCATTGAACTAATCACTTTATATACATTATCTTATTCATTTCTCCCATAATCTTATAAGTACATGCTATTGCCCCCATTTAATAGCCGAGGAAACTGAGGTTTAGAACATGGAAACCCATTGAGTCCCTCTGAAGACTGAAGCTAGGATTTGAATTAAATCTGGGTCCGCTGGTTCTAAAACCTAGGCTCTTAATCTTCCAGCGCAGTTTTCTTTTTTGGAGGCAGTATTGTCTGGAGTTGCCTTGGAAGGCTTTGTGGATATTTGGGAATTAAACTGGACTGGGAATCAAGGAAGTGGAAAAGAGTGGGTGGACCTTCCCCGTAGAAAGAAGGGCAAGAGAAGGAGGTGACACTGGAATGTGAGTCCTGGCCCTGGAGGATGTGAGGAGATGGGGGCCAGCTGACCAGACGCCTGGGATGAAGTTCAGTGGGTACCAGGGCCGTACGAAGGGCCATGAGTACAGGACATTTTGTCATCTGTGAAAAAACCTAAAGCTGTCTAAGCAGAGAAGTCACTAATCAATGTAGTGATGTAGACAACCCAGTTTCTTCAGCAAACGTAAGAAGACAAAAGGGACAGATGGAGGGGGGGACACCCATGGATTAAAAGAAACTTAAAAGATGTATCAACCAACTACAAACTGTGAACCTTATTTGCATTCTGATTTCAAAGAACAAAGCATTTAAAAATCATGAAATTTGCGACAGTTGAGAATTTTAATATGAAACGTGAGATGGTTGCACTTTGTAATATTAACATTAAGGAACTGATGTTAAATCTTTTTAGGATGATGATGTGGATATGGTTACCTATGTATGTTTTAAAGTGATTAGCCTTTAATAATACATAGTGAAATATTGAGGGATGAAATAATAGGATGTCTGGAGTTAGCTTTTCGACAAGGGGTGGGCATAGTATGTGCTGAGACAGGGATCAGATGAAATGAGATTAGCCGTGAGCTGAAGATGAGTGGTCATTACACGCTGGCTGCTTTGGTAAATGTTCAAAATTTCTTCACAATAAAAAAAAAAGCAGCATTATAGAAGATGGATCTGCCTGGTGATTTGAAGGTGAGAATGAGGGACTGTGGCTCAAAGATCCGTGAAGTACTGGTATAGACTGTCATTTTGATGGAAATAATGAATTAGGAGGAATAATTCCAGTGGGAGAGTGCTTACTTCTCAGGTTTTCTGTGCTAAACATTGAAGTATCCTGGGGTTGTTTTTTGCCTGTTAAAAGAATGGTTTATTTATTTATTTTTTGCTATTGTTGTTTTGTTTTGTTTTTAGTGGTAGTGTTTCAAGGAAGTGGCAGACAAGTTCTGTATACTGTATTGTGAATAATTTCAGTGGTAATGAATTGGAATATCTTTGCTTTATATTAGAATGACGTAATTAAAAATAAAAACTTATTCCTATGATTTATATTGTTGTTTTTTTAAATTTCTGATAAGTGCCTAGGGTGCTGAGAAATGTAAAGAATGACATACTAAGAGACTAAATCAACATATACTTTTTTCTTTCTAATAGGACTCGCTGCATTCCTTAATGGCAACGCTAAGCTCCTCTAATCCTTTCTTTGTTCGCTGTGTCAAGCCAAACATGCAGAAGGTAAGATTGAGGACAGTTCTCCACTGAGACCACGTCTTTCAGGAGACTGCCTCCTGGGTGGTTACTCACAGATTTGGTTTCTCCAACGTCCTTTCATTATAGGTGGTTGGCAGTGTATATGGCGTGATTATAACTTAACATTACTAAATGGAAAAATTCCCTTTGTCTCTTTGGGCCTGTTTGTCGGCTTTTGAATGATACCCTTAAGCTTTAAAGAAATCCAGTTGAAAAGGAAACACTGGGAAGCCTTCACTTTTTTTTTTTTTTTAAAGCACTCGGTGTGAAACTCTTGGGCAAGCTTCTATTTTAGAAGAAATAGTTGGTGTATGTTTTGTGGCTGATGTTTTGTTTGTTTTCTTTTGCTTTGTTGTTAAACATGATGAAGAGTATTTTGGGTGGTGATGCTGAGTGTTATGGACTTTAACTAGGTGGTCATAACCAATTTGAAAGCTCCTGAAAGGTGGTCGTCATGAGTTTTCATGTCTGGGCTCCATGATTTTAGCTGTTTGATACCATATCCTGATCAGAAACTGTGTGCGTTTTAAAAGGAAAAGCTATCTAAACAAAGAAAACTTGGTATTAGATAGATATTCAGTTGCTGAGTCCAAGAATAAAATGGGCAACTTGCCTTACAGTGTTGTTAGAAAAATTGGAATTATCTTGACTTGGGGAATGTCAGCTCTTAGTACCCACCCTGAAGAGAGGAAAACCCCCACCCTGCAGTCATGTAAAGGGCCCCTCATGTTGAAACACTAGATGTCATCCTCACAAGGACTAAGATAAGGAATTGACCTGAACTGTTTCCCGTGAGACTTGTGTTATATTCCGACTTCTTGGCTGAGGCTAGATCTCTCTTTTTATATGGTTTACTAATTGCCTTTGACTTAATAGGACAGTGATTCCTGATCTATAGTTTAAAGATGTTCATTTATAAGAACCACAATATTGAATTCTCAGCCTTCTAGGAAGGCACAACGGAACGTTCTCTTTAATGAAGAAGAATAACTTGTTCAGCTTGTTGCCTTGCTGCGAGGGGTGGTGGTGAGAATCTGGCACTCGGACGGCATAACGTGGCTGAATCTGGTCTCATATAGGAGGCCTGTGATGACTTCATTTAACGTGCATCTGTTCTGGTAGTTTACAAAGTAACTCATCTTTCCATTTTTCAAATTATGTTAAAATGTTTTAGGTTATCACAAAAATATGGCAACATAAACAATACGTAGGTGTTTTTTTTTTCACATAATGTAGAAAATGAATAGTTAAGACATCACCATATACCATGTCAGCTGGTTTATGTTCCGTTTTATAACCCCAATGGGCAGTATTTACAAGACAGTATAAATGGGCTTTGCGTTTGGGTCCACACTCAACAGGAGCTGTCTAACTTCTGTCAGTGTTTCTTTTTCTCTTTTTACAGCAGAGATAATCACACCGTATTTCATCCCAAACATGCATGTTTTTTCCCAGCTTAAGGTCTTGCATAGTGGGGTGGATTTACAGCTTTTGGCGAGCCGTAGTGTAAAGGGGAGCTCTTTCTCAGCTGTATAGCACATAATCATACGGCCTTCCAACCATTGCCATCTCAGAGTCAATGAAATGGAGGAGGGAACCTACCGTGTCAGGCACTGTTATAAAGGATAGAAATTTTAATTTGAAAAACTCAGTACCACGTGTTTTTATTTTCTGTCTCAGATGGCATGGATTTCATTTTTCTCCTTTAAATTGTAATAGCTTTTAAATTAGGCTGGCTTGAATTGCAAACTCTTTAGCAGCCTGAATATTAAAGAAATTACTCTCCTTTTGATGTTTATTTTTCCTTGCCGGGATTTGATTGTGCCTAATTGCCTTGGTTTTTGCATTTAAAAAAGTGATCCAGCCCAACCTCGTATTTCCATTTGTGTTGGCTCACAATCCTTTCCCTCCCCTGACCTGGGGCAGACGCTAATTCGTAGCATACTGAGAGATGGGCTGTAAAGACTTTGAAAAGAAATGTCTTGGTAACATTTGAAAGGCACCCAACCAATAAAGGCACAGACACAAGAACCGACTTGTCTGAGACCTAAAGATGTAGATGTGATTTTAAGTATGAAGATGCTAATTAGAATATGGAGATCTTAAATTATGACCTGCTTAGCCTGCATTTGGTTCCACTGAAAATATTGGAGTGTGACTAGTGTTTATGTTAAATGGCATGTATGTAAACAACCCTCATTTAGAGTTTCTTACGCATATTCTTTTGTCCAAAGATAGATGCTTCTAGAAATCTCACAGGAAAAATCTTGCTTTCCTTCCCCCTGGAGATGGGGAACATATATTTCCAGCGTAAAAGTATGAGGCAGACCCCTCAGACTCCCATCATGTCCTACCTTCTCAAGTCAGAAGCTTATCAGGGGGGCTTGAGGCATTATTCAACTATACGGATATGTAGGTGTTTAGTGCATCATTCAGGAACGTGGGTCATGGGTCGTGGCAGACTCGACAGGTTTTTTTCCGTTTTGCAATTCTGTGACCAGAAAGGGATCAGAATTCTGATCCAGCGGCTGTGAAGTCTGTGGCCTAGAGAACTGGCCTTAGCAAAAGCGAAGTGGCTGCCTTTGTGCTTTTAGGAGCAGGGCCAGCACCCCGAACCAAGACTCCCACAGTGGCCTGGCTTCCCCTCTTAGGTGAGTGAGTGATGCTCAGAATGGGCCCTTGGGTCTCAAGCATCTAGAAATCCTTTGAGGGAGTGTTATGGCGTTTTCGTTATTTGGGTTTTTGTGTTTGCTTTGAAAAGCAGATACAAGCGGGGAGCATATAACAAATGCTGGAACAGCTATGTGAATTCAACTATAGTAATATGTGGACTGGGTTCTTTTTTATAAACAACTTGTAGCTAATCATGGGTGTTTTGTAAAAGACACTTCGCTGGCGTCACTGGGAAGTCCTGGCACTAAGTGATGAAGTGTGTAAGAAAAGCCTACCTCTTGATCCAGCCTTTTAGATGGCACTCGAGGATGTAATCCTCCACTCAGCTTAGCATTTTCAGAGTTTACCAAGGGCAGAATCCTCCATTAGACAATTTTTAGTTGGTGATGTGGCCTGTTGGCATTTTCTTTCTCGTATTTGCTTAGGCAATAGTCATTTCTGGCCCAAACTGTCCAAACCAAGCCCAGGAGGTGTCTGTCTGAAAGGAAACCTGCTTTGACTCCTCAGCACTTCTCCCCAAGGGTGTCCCACAACCTGTCATCTCTCCCTTCTGTCCCTGCCTGTTATTGTAACAACAAAACATTCTAGTCTGAAAAGACTGTCATTAGCATCCCTCAGAAAAACCCCCCGAGGAGCAGGAGGTGGAGGAGGAGGAGAGAATTAAAGAAGGGACCAGATCAATAAATATCAGAGACGCCTTCCTGGAGTGAGAACTGGTTGTCTGTCGTTCCAGCCCACTTCCTGCAGAGGCAGCCAGGACTGTCACTTGGAGATGACTGGCTGACCTCCCTCTTTCTTGGTTCTGTAGGTTTGATAAGAGCAGCACTCAGGTTCTAGAGGGAAACATCCTTGATTCCAGCAACGTCATTTCTAGGTTTTTAACCCGACGTATATCCTCAAAGATTCTGTCCCGTCTTCTCCAAAAAGGCAGGACTCGAGGCTCTCCCCCGAGCTGGGGGCTGGGGGCTGGTGGAGGAAGGCTTCCAGCAGAGAGGGCTCTGTGGAGTGAAATTTAAGAAAAGAGGAGAAGAGAGAGGAGCGGGGAAACTGGAGACCTGCGAGGGAAACTCTGAGGTCTGTGAGGCGGACTGCGGCCATGTTTGTCGGAAAATGGACTCTCAGGCAGGAGACCAAAGCTGGAGACATCAGCTTGGTCCTTGTCTTGAAGCGCTGTCTCCGCGAGACATGAGGACGAGTCAGCCATCTCACACGGAAACTTCAGAGGATGCCCGCGCTTCGCACTTAAATGAGTCCTGATGATCTGTAGCCTTCTCTTTCCTGCCACTGTTTATATCAGAGCAGGTCCCTTACTTGGACAGCGCCCTAGACAGCCCGCGACCACACAGGAAGTGAGACCGCTGTGTGGCCTTACGGAAACACGGGCCTTTTGTTTCCAGAGGCATTATGATTTGATGGCTGAACTAATGAATCGCGCCCACGTAATCCTCAGGATTTGTGTTGGTGTGATCCAGGTGCTGCCTGCCTTTTTTTATCTAGTTTTTTTTGTTGTTGTTGTTGTTTTATTAAACAGAAACCAAAAAGTTCTGGTGATAATGTGGCACTTTTAACTACCTTGAATGGTTGTCCAGTTTTTTCCTTCCTGTATTGTTTTCTCTCTCATTTATTTCATCTTATGTCTCATTAGCCTTATTGAACTTTATTCCAGCAACCTTTTACATTTCTTTTTAGGCTTTGGTTTCTCTACCCTAATCCTATTTTTTGAATAAAATATTCTGTAAATACAGAATGCCTGGACCAGTACAGCGAGCCTTGTGCATCTTTGTACCCTGCCGCCTCGCTCAGCATCCAGGCTCTCACGTGGGCTCACAGTAAATGTTGGGCCGAATTGCTCATAAAAGGGTGTTGGAGAGAGGCTCATGGTATAGGAGTGCTTAACTTTGCCAAAGATAAACTCTCATGCGCTGTCTTTAATTCTTATTGCCACAGGTTCCATTCTAGTTCATTTATTGTATTTTTCGCATGTTTTTCGCTTCTGGATTATCTCTGATTTGTGCTGTTGGAAGTTATGCCGGGGAGTGGGGGTGGGGGGGATATTCCAATAGGTCCGTTTTAGGCGATCTCCTTAATATAAGCCAAGCTTTCTGTGTGAACACGTTACTTCTCCCTGTCCTGTCCGCCTCTCACGGCTGACCCGTCCTCGGATGTAGCCCCGCCAGGACCCAAGGCCCTTTGGGAACAGCCGAGCACAGCACCAGAGGCTCATTCACGAAGACTTGTTCAAGTTGGGACTCCTGCTTCATACTCATTCAGATATCTACATGGGGGTCCCCCAGGGCCTTTCTTACCTGCCA